TTGAGTATTAAAATATTATAAATTGATGCTTCAATAAAAATATTTGATATATATATGTACTTACCTTGTGAAAGATCCTTAAAAAAAAGAAAAAGTTTCCGTTTCAGTATAATGACAAAAATTTTACATCTAAATGGGCAAAAAGGAAATATACACAACTAGTAGTGGTTGCGTTTTATTTCTTCAAACCTTGATAAACAATGAAAAGAAAAAACAACAACAAAAGACAATACAGAAGGCATTATAAACACTGTTCATATTTATTCTCTCGATTCCATAGATGGTTTGATTTCTTTCTCGGTCTTAAAATAAAACAAAAGATGTTTAAAGGCTTGAATGTGACACACTGTACTTATTGTCTCTTTTTTCTCAGTTATTATCTTTGGTACCTTTCTTTTGTATAGAAGAACAAAGACATAAATAGTTTGAATTGTTTGACATGCACTAAGGATCTATGTTTGTATTTGGAAAAAAGGACATCGAGAAATATTGCTTTAACATAGCCAACAATAACTAGAGGCCCATGGGCCACATCGCTCACCTGAGCACATGGGCTAGTTTAAAGGTACTTGGACACAGATTTGAAGTTAATATTTTCTCTATAATATTACGACTTATATAGCATTTTACACACAAATTGATTAAAAGTCTTCTTTCATTTAAAAGCTATTAAAACTTCAAATTGTTTGGCGGGTTTGAATGACACATCCTTGCACTTTCACAAATCTTAATTTTATTCTATGCTGACCTGTCATATGTGCTCCTTGTTACATGTATGATCGGGAAATAACGGAAAAAATCCGTCGTCAATTTAGAGTATAAATAATGGACTAGTCAGCATTTGTCTCAATTATAAATTGTATTTGCTGACTCGTTATATTGCTGAGATATTAGAGGTGATAAGACATCGAATCTGAGGAGTTTTACATTTCTTTTGAGAAATAAATATTTGGGTTGACTATTCATGATTTGAAATACATTGTATTTTATTAAAAAAAAATTACGACATAAGTCGGAAAACACTTATTTACTATTTCATGATTTATTTTTACGTTTTTTTTTTACAATAACTTTGAAGCCGTGGTTGATATTGACGCTTTAAAAAGGGAAAAATCCAACTGTGATCAAGAAAAGGGGGGGGGGTTGGCTCTGGTGTGAAATTTCCTCTCGAGGGAAATCCTACTCTAGAGTACAATTTACAGGGTGGGGAATCTTGCTATGGGCGAAATACTACTCTACATCCCCGATATATTGTAACGTCTCTACAAGAATGAAAAATTTTTGAATTGGGCGTAAAACAACAAACAATCAATTCACTACTCAAAAAAAATTATTTGAACATAATGCTCCAATTCAATGTTGTTTAATTTGTTTGCAAGTTTACGCTAATAAAGATTTTTTTTTTTGACATGCACAACAACAAACACAAAACTGTAGATAAAACCTTAGTTTTTCCGAAACATTTATTTTGCAATCTTGTCTTGCTTTGAAATTCAGTTGAGTTTGCTGAATACTTATATTTTCATAAATCTTTCGTTTTATGATACAGATATTAATAAACTACATGATTTTGACTCATAGTGTAACTCTAAAGTAGAGTCACATGTCCTTCATTAAAAAAATAAAATGTGAGTGTATGATATAAAGTATTAAACAATTATTGGTCACTGATTGTAATAACAAACGATGTCTCTACATGACCAAAAATTAACATATCAAACAAACAAGGGCAATATAGCTTTATATTTTAAGTAGTTGCAACATATTCCCACGATAATATTTCCTGTTGGATTCAAAAAAAGATTACTATTAAATACAAGGTTCTGATATGTTAACATCACAACCATAAGAAATTACAAATTTGTGGATTTATTTTTCTTTGTGAAGGTATGATTCAATTTTTTTTGTAAGAAACTCAGGTTAAATTCGAGATTAAAATCAACCAAACAGCATAACAATGTATTCTAAAACTAATTTAAAGTAGGTTAGATTCACTTTAATATTTGTTTAGAAAGAAACCCAGACGGACTAAATTTGCGAATAAAATTAACCAAATAGTACAACAATGCATTCTAAAACTAATTCAAAATGCATGATTGCATTCATGTCTTTGTTATATTGCTCTTTTATAAATAAAGAAATGGGTATCTTTTTTATTTTAGTTCTAAAAAAATAATTTTTTTGCCAGACTTTTAATAAAAATCGTGTCATGAAATGCTTAAAAATGAAAAAAATAAATTAAACTGCAGAAGAATAGAAAAATCAAATTGCATACATTGTATTATTATAATTTTTATTTTTCTTTTCTTTTTTTCTTCTCGTTTTGAATGTTGTAGTCAATTGTTTGATTGTATATATAACAAAGAGAGATAATTCAATAATTCAAAGTTAAATTTGTTTTAAACCTCATAGATTATAATTTTTCTCTATATCTTTACGCACTTTTTATGTATACATGTATTACCGGATGTATACACATGTACTAAAGTTATTTTTCATTTTATAATGGAGAAATTGAAATATATTGTGTATTTGTTGGTGTATGGGAGTCATACAGATGGACACAAGGGGTTCCAACCCCCGCAGACTCTCGCCACTCGTTCTTTATATTTGTTTTTGTTTACAAACTGATGGGCTGTATTGCCCAAAGTTATATTCTGAATAAACTTATTATCAAAACTTTTAAGAAACTCCTTGACCAGAAGAAAATATCATTTGAACGTAAGTTCTGAGTAATATAATTAGAAATAATTTTTTACATTCATTTCTAAACAGAAAATAAATCTCAAGAATTACCGGAAAAGAACAAAATTAATATACTGAGTATTTTAAAAGCATGTTGAAGTCATAAATAGTCTTAATTGTATACATTATGCTCTAGGGTGCGGTCATTATTAGAAATGTATTTTAATAGGTAACATTCTTCTTGTCATGAACTACTTGACCTAAAAAGATGAAATATATGAAATAATTATTACCTTTGGGTGAGGAATAAAATGTACCACAATGGATTATCAAAATTGTAGATATGCATACACACGTAAATAAGGGGCCATTATTTCCGGTGAAAACAAAACATCCACTTTCTTTAACTTTCGCCTTAAAAATCGAATAAATATCATTCGATGATAAATAAATAATTACTAAAATGTTAAGCTTACTTTTTAATTTACACATTTATTGTTAATGTTTCAAATTATACCAAAAACTAGAAAAATGTTTTTTTAAATATAGCAATCATGCGTGACCTAAAAATATTTTCATTTTTCGACAAAAATATGGCCGCCTTTCTGAGTTTGATGTAGGAGTATTGAAGATGACAGAGTTTTGCCGATTTTTAAGTGGGTTTAATATATTGAACATATTAATATTTGTGTCCATACGAAAATTAAGTATCATGCATTCCGTAAAAATGTCAAAATTCGCTAAAAATATACTCATGTTAAGAGTTGTATATTCTATCTATTTGTTAAGAAAGATATATTTGGAAATATAAAGATTGCCTGGATATATAATATATATGTAATTATTGCTTATTAAACTTAAAAGGGTCTTACTTTAGCGTACCAAAAGTGCTTTAGGTTATCAATTATTTCAACGCTCACCTTAGTAAATTTAACCATGCTGTGCTCCCCCTTTGTAATACATCTTGTTGACCCACCCTATGTACAGGGGTCATAAAGTAGAGAGTATCGAATTAGCACTACTTCAAAACGCTTCTATGTTTTTTTCAGCTTTTTTGGCCCAGTGATCTTGAGAAGTTTTTTTTTAAATATCCTGTATATTTTGATATAAAAAATATACTCTCTATCGTGGCCACTTCCTACCCTGGGGATCATAATTTGAACAATTCAGAATCTACACTTACCCAAGACACTTCCACATAAGTTTAAGCTTTCCTGACCCAGTAATTTTCAGAAGAATTCTAAAGATTTTTTTATACTTGATGTTTCAAGATAAAATTTTGTGTCCATATTTTTGCCCTTTCTAAACCCCATTGGTTATGATTTGAATAATTGAGAATCTACACTACCCCAGGATGTTTCTAAATAAGTTTCAGCTTCCCTGACGCAGAGGTTCTCAAAAATAAGATTTTTAAAGATTTTCCAATTCATTTCAATGCAAAACTTGTATTTCCTATTCTGGCCCTGTCCTACCCTCGGGGGCCATAGTTTAAACAACTTACAATATACACTACCCAAGGTAGATTTCGTATAACTTTCAGCTTTACTTGCCCAGTGGTTCTTGTGGAGAAGATTGTATAAAAAATAAATATATTAGCATGTTATATTTAGATTCCCCTTTTGTGGCCACGTCCTAGTCCAGGGGTCTTGATTTGAACAATTTAGAATATACACTACCCCAGAATGCATCCACATATGGTTTAGATTTTCTTGTAAAGAAGATTTTCCTACACTCAGTATATTTACAAGTTAAATTTGGTTTCCCTATTGTGGCCTCTCCCTACCCCCGGGGTTCATAATTTGAACAATTTAGAGTCTACCCTAGTCAAGAATGCTTCCATAGAAGTTTCAGCCTTTCTGTCGTTCCTGAACAGAGTTGTTAATTGAATAGTTAAATCCACGTTTTTAAAAGTTTTGTACTTTAGCAGTCATCTTTGGGGGAGATACCCATATATAGAATCTATATAGTACACATATGCAGCCTTGTATTTTCTGGTTTGTTCCTTGACTTTGACTGGAAAAATTATGTGCATCTTGTATAATGATTGCCCCAAGATAGGGCTACCAATAATTAGAAAGAAAAAAAATAGGCACAGTGGATGTATCAGATCACACCAAAATGGACATTTCATTTTCAGAATTTAAACCCCTCCCCTTTCCAAGTATTATTTGTGCTAAGTTTGGCAAAAATTGGCCCACTGGTTCTTGATAAGCTGGCAATGTAAAATGTTTATACAGACGGAAGGACAGATCGACGGACGGACGCATAAAGTATATTATAAAAATTATCCTGGCATTACACTGTATTGTAGGAGTTGGGGACATTTTCTTTAGATCCTTATCACTACTCCTGCATCACCAGGACAATCACAGATATATACGTCAGGAAATCATTAACTTTTTGTCTAACCATGAAGATAGATACACATACTTGATGTTTTATAAAGGAGAGGGGGCATACGAGAAATGCATATGGTATGTAAAAGCATATACATTTTTAATTTTTTTGTAAGGAAGTGATGCTGCAAGTAAACATAAGAATTGTCCTTAGAACAAAGTGAGTTAAACTGTACCTCTTGCTGTATTTATAATGCTTATCTTAAAGATTTTAGAGGATTACGCAAGATTTCTTATTAACAATAACATAATTTGTATATAATTTACTTTAAAAAAAGTTTTCTGGGTCTTCATTAGCATTTGTTTGTTATATATTTCCATCTAATCTTTTGATAATTTTTCTAGCCCCTAACTATTCTTATCAATATTTTTCTGCCAATTGTATTAAATGTAAAAAAAAAATATGCACACATCTTTCACTAGAGTTTCTTTTTGTATATTAACAGCAAACAAAGACAAAATGACGAAGAGGCTGATGCTGTCATTTTCCAAGCTGCAGCTGACGTATATGGCTTGGACATTTACATCACTAACTTTAACAACTGTGGTGAAACCCAAATAATTAGAGCCAACGCTGATCAAGCTGCTTGGGGATGGCTGCATTTACGATTGGTGCAAGATCATTATGACCTCATAACAGGTACAGTAGGCCATCTTTATAGAATTGTTTGGATGCCCTCTCCTGACCAACTGATTTAAATGACCCAACTCCAAACTTTTTTTCAGTATTCTGGGACAAAATGAATATATATATTTTATATATTGTATGTAAATATGTAAATATTTTCTATATATCAAGAAATATATATTGCTTTTTTTCTGGAAATTTGTTTTTTACAACCTCACTATCGACCCAATAGTTTTACCCAGAATCTGGAGAGGGTTAGCAAATATTATTGTCAAGATGGCCAAATATGTTTTAGGAAAAACAATATTTTATATATTTTAATAATTTTATGACATAACTCCTGAACAATCATTCTTGTTTAATTTTGTGTATCATGTGAAAAAAACCTCCTTAACCCTCCTAAATGACAATTTGATTTTTTTAAAGTGACGTTGATGATTATGTAATAATTTTCCTTACTCAATAGATGTTTTTTAGAAGTAGGCTAACCTTGTTCATAGTTGCTAACGTTGTTCATAGTTGGAATAGTAATCCCTTCTCTAAAGGGGTAAAATATCCTTAATTTGGACATGTAATGTACATTATTTTTCCCATATTTGTCCATTAAATGCTTTATTTACCAAATGTCACCATCGCCTCATTTGACTACTAAACTGTTGAACTAATTGGTACAAGTAACGGTTTTCAAAACAGCCTCTCTTTTCCCCTGTTGAGCCCCACTCTGTGCACCCACCAAAATATTGGGTATTATCTAGTAAGACATATGGCCTCTCATAATTTTAAGAATTACATATTATTATATCATTTAGTAACACCTCGTGTTATAGAGCAATGGTTTTAAACTCAGGGAATGATTGATTGATTGTATGATGTTTAAAGTCACTCTCGAGAATTTTTCACTCATATTAAGACGTCACCGGTGAAGGGCTTCAAATTTAGACCTATAATCGGCACTCAGGGCCCTTGAGCAGTGAGGGTTTTTAACGTGCCAACGTCTACCACGACACGGGACCTATGTTCTTAAGTTAAAGACTCTCGACTTTCACTTCTTATGCCGAGCGCTTGGCGAAGGAGCATCACTTTATGTCTTAAGAATCAAACCCGGGCCTCCCGATCACTGTCAGGGAATGAAATATAAAAATAACAAAGATTTATATCAGGCTAAGACTTCCATTGAATCAGTAAGCATTGGAAGCAGAGCTAAAACGGATCTATAAAAAGATAAGATGGAATCAGGTGTCATGGAGGAGTAAGCATCCCTTGACAGTCGGTTACAGAAGACTGAGTGCAGAGCATTTAATGAAACATCTAGCCACGGTTTTAAAGCTATTTCAATTATGCCGTTTAAAGAACATACCCGGGGCAAGTACAAATGTATATTGACGCATGGGTGCACAAAACACTTTTGGCGAAAACACTTTTGTTCCGCATATTCACATAGCATGTCTATTAACTCTATAAGGGTTTCCTTCTAATTGAAACCGCAGATTCAACACTTGCAGAAAAAACGCAGAAAAAAGAATAAAAACTAATGGTTTCCCAAGCATAAGAGATGAGCAAAATCTGGCAACTAAATCGCACCATTTAAACATTGCATTGTAGAGAGGATATGTTTTATTTTAACAGAATTCAATTTCCAGTGAGGCAGGCGCATTTCGATAAAATCACCTGCTAACAAATGAAGAAGTACATGTTTTATATGCAAGTGATATATTTTCTAAAAATAAAAATGCCTGTTTTAGATTCTTCACAAGAAGGCGCAGAAAAGCCAAACAATGCCTATAACTTAGCAAAACTTCCGTTAAGGGCAAGGGGAAATAATCGAGGTAAGTTTCATTTAAGAAAAAGGACAATATGAAAATTGTATCACTTCTTCATAAAAAAATACCTGAATGTCAAGTTCTTTTAGAACTACAAGGTATTTTCAATTGTGCAACACAAAGACCAAAAAAAAAAAAAGAAAAAAAATATGATTAATCATAAAAAGTAAAACATTCACATAATTATATTTTTTTCAGTGTGGACTAATCCCAGTCGAGTTACGAGAATTCCTGATAACTATGCACCAGAATACACAGAGTACTCAGTTTGAGAGCGAAAGGTACCGAGAGATAAATGGAATAAAAAGACTATGCTCTTTAATATTTATATAAAATTAAAGCAAATTATAAAGAAAAGTATATTTTGGTTTTCTGTTATTTTTGCCAGTTTGACTACCGTTGCTAGCAAGCTAATTTCAAAGTGGACAGATATTTGAAAACAATAAAAATACATCTTTTTTTAAACAGAGCTATGTCTAGGCGAGCTCAAAGCGGGGTAAAATTGTTTGCAAGCATGAAAGGGCGAAAATATGATGGAGCGAAAATAACCCCTCTAGAGTAGAGCATCATAACTATTAATCATAAGCTAATTATTTTATTTATTTTTTATATTCAAAAGAAAAAAAAACTTTTCTTCTTGAGTATTGAAATATTATAATTAATGCCAAAATAAAAATGTATTAGATATGTATTTACCTTGAGAAAGATCCTTAGAAGAAAAAATAATTTCCATTTCAGTTAAATGACAAAAATATTTAATTGACAAAAAGGAAATATACACAATTAGTTGTTGTTGATGATTTGTTTCTTCAAACCTTGACAGAGAGTTTTAAGAGAAAAGAAAACAAAAGACAATACAAAAGGCATTATCTAACACTGTTTATATATATTTTTTGGATTACTTAGCTGTTTTGTATCCTTTGTCGGTCTTAAATTAAACAAAAGCGTTTAAAAGGCTTTTAACGTAACACCCTGTATGTATTGATTCTTTTTTCTTAATTATTATTTTGGATACCCTTGTTTGTTCTAGAATAACAAAGACATAAATGCTTTGAATTGTTTGACATGCAAAATGGATCTATGTATTGGAAAAAGGACAATGCTTCAACATAGCTAACAATCATGGTAGGAGAGGTTCATTTTTGTTTCATGAAGTCCGACACTCGAGGTGACTTACTTTAGCGATATTTTAGGGATTTAATTATATAATTATTGTTTAGATATTCAACCATTTTTCTAAATGTTACTTTGCAATCGTTCATAAAAAATTGCCTAACAAAGAACACATCTCTTCCCCAACTTGCTTTCGCTTGGCTACAAAACAAATGTCATTTTTAACCATCTTTTTCCTTTCACTCAAACAATCAATTTAATTTATGATTGAATGTCTGGAAAGTCTATCGTCGTCATAAACCTTGTACAAATTATTATAAGATACTTCAAAGGAATTTCCGAAATATACGTTATACTTTACGGCCGTTCGTTGCTCGAATAAGACTGTGATAGCCATTTTTCGCCACGAGTGACGTATATATTGACGTCAGTTTCACATTGTGACATAACAATGATAAGAAAATCATTATCTTTCATATGCTTTTATAGAACATGAGTGTGCTAAATTTCATTCTGATCTGAATCGTGGTTTTGTAAATATAGAAATAGATCGCGAACTTTTTGATCAACCCTCGTATGTTATTTTTCACGCCCGTTCAAGAAATTTTCATTCATATAGAGAATACACCATACAGCTGTGAAGACTTTTCTAGTGTACCTTGGAATAAAAAAGAAAAGCAAAATTGTAAATATATACGACTGTGTCCAAGCCCCTTTAAGGAGCTCGAGGCTGAAGGGGGGTGGGGTTAACATATTAACCATCTGACATAACTTTTTTTTAAAGAAACGATTTCTTAAGATGTCAACTATCATTTGGCAAGGAAAATGTTCATACATTTTTGTTTTAAGATTTTATCAAATTATATGAATCTCTTCTTCTAAAGGAGATTAAAATAGTCCAAAAATTGCTGCTACAACTCAGCCCTTTTTAGGGTGATAACAAAAAGTTCAAAATCAAAAGCAGTGTCAACAATTATGCATTATTTATGAGATGCGATATATGCAGAGTTACATGTATTATCAAAACGTCAAAATGTGGCACACGTCCTTAAATCTTTGAATTTGTTGTTCTGTTTTATCAATAGCTATCAAATGCGGTAAAAGTCCGACCACAAAACACACCTAAGTTATCAATTGGTGTTTTGTAACCACGAACCTTGAGTTTAAAAAGTGAAAGAATCGTATACACAGGATATTACAAAAGACTTTAAATTTGTTGCATGTTGTTTTTTCAGCTTATCTGCATCAATGATGAATAGTCGCCGCGTACAGAATACAACAAAGATTTATAAAGTAGAGAAGGCTGTATTGATATATTTATGAAATTATCCTTTAAAACTGTTTGTTTCACTTTCACGCAGGTTGCAAAAACACATTTACCACATAGGGTATATGTATGTCACTTGTCAGCGTTTAAGAAAAGATCAATAAAACAATCTAACTAAATGTACAAATTTTTACAACTAATTTATATAACTAAAATTATAACTAGAGGTACTGTGAGCAATGAGCTCACTAAATGATACCCCCGCCTCCCATATGAATAAAATGGCAGTGTCCATGTTTTGCTCTGGAAAATCCAAACTATATGTCAGATCAAAAAGTAAAATAGGAGGTGCACAATGGCAATATGTAATAAAGATTCTGTGAGAGTTTCATTAAATTTCCTTCAGTGGTATGAGAGGAGTTGCGGATAAGAGATGGGTACCCCAAAGCGTAACAGACGGACGGACGGACGGACGGACGGAAATACCGATGACTATATACCCTCCCGCTTTTCAAGCGGGGGGTATACTAACCAACAAAGTTATGAATAAATTTTCCAAAATTTTTATTTAAATTTATAGAAATAGACAAAAGAAAAACATCAACAAAAAACTTTTCTTGACAAAAACGGGTTGAATTTCCTCGTATATCTGAAATTAAATATATCAAAGAGTTTAATTAAAAAAAAAAATTAAAGATCACAAAATTTCAGGTGTTAAAAATCCGCTTCATGAGTGAGTTTCAACATCTCGGTTTTGTTTTTCTATATACTTCAACTAAATTCTACTAAATTAAACCTTGCACAAGAATTGAAAAAAAGATGTCAAGCAAGGACATTGAGAAGCTGGTATTGTCTTGTTTTTCAAATGAATTTAAGCGAAAACCATCTTGTTTCCAGCCAAAGACAAGACTAGTATTTAATGAATTTATAGTATTAATGAAATGCAGTTTATGACGTCACAATTTTCATTAAAAAAACAAATGTGAGAAAAATGTTATGTATGGTTTTTCTGCGTGGAATTTCAATAATCCAGAAAGAATGAGATTTCATTTTTTTACACTAGTTTCATTTTTTAGAAAATTACAGGGCTAGATTTGTATGGAAACCATACCTTGTTCTTTGCATTTCTGGAGGGATAGATTTCAGCTGTATTTTGCCTGAAAGCATATTTGAATTTTGAAAAAAAAACCCATCATTTTCGGAGTTTATTGAGATTTGACACGTGATTCAATAGCATGGGGACTCTGCTTGGGTTTATATACTAGTATATTTTATTTTTATTGCTTAAATCTTATTTAATTATTTCAATAAGCTTGTAGATATATATCTTGCAATATTATAAGTAAAAATTAATAACAAATAGATAAACAAAACATGTTTAAAGAAAAGATACTTTGGACACTCTTGTCATCTCGAGGAGATACAATGTACATTCAATTCAAAATATTGCATGTTGTGTTATACCCGGTGATTTATTAGTGTAAAGTGAATTTGTTTAGGACAAAATCAGATCATTTCAAACCAAAAATAGCGTTTCGATCGAAAGTATGCCATATTGTGATATCTAGGTGAGCCAACTAAACATAAACATAAACGTTTGAAAGGCGTTATCTTAACACCCTGTATATATCGAATCCATCTCATTATTGGCAAGGGGACTTTTTCTCAATTATTATCTTTGATACCTTTCATCTGTATAGAAGAACAAAGACATAAAATATTTTCCATTGTTTGACATGCACAGAGGATCTATGTATGTATTTGGAAAAAGGACATCGTGATATATTGCTTCAACATAAAAAACAATAATAATACGAGAGGTTCATTTTTGTTGCATGACGCGACTTACTTTTGACAATTTAATTACATGTATACTTTCCTTGATTGAATTCATTTTGGTATTGAAAAAAAAATGCCCACTATATATTTGTTTTTTTTTTGTTTAATCTTTTTAACATTTAAAAACATTTCCAAAGTCTTTAACCAGTTTCTCCCGCGTCAAAACACTATAAAATGTTTGAAAAAAGCTCCCCCATCATTGTCAATGGAAAATGGATTGTCAATCACAAAGACACATATGCATTTTACAACATGCCGCATGTGTTAATAGCCAGGATTTTTATGATTATAATTTCTTAATTATATGTTATAAAACGCCCATTTTGGAATTTTTTACTCATGTAGAGAATACTCATACAGCTGAGAAGGCTTTGGAATACAAACAAAAAAAATAAATAAATAAAAAATATTGTAAATATATACAACTGTGTATACAACGAGCCCCTTTTAGGCTAATGATAATAAAGAAAAAAAGGTCAAACAACACACGTGGTGTCTGCAATACGAAATGTTTCCATGAAAATTAAAAAGAATGAATCCAGCCGGATGAAAAGAATCCTCCATGATTTGTAGTAGGATATGATTTTTATCCAACTCGGTGTGTCTGGTCTTGGGTATAAAAATACACAACTTGTTGGATAAAAATCATAGCCAACTACTAACCATGAAAGATCCGATAGTTATGACCAAAACGTCAAAATGTGGCACAAGTCGCTATGTCTTTGATTTTGTGGTTTATTTTATCAATGGCAATCAAATGCGATAAAAACCTGACCACAAAACACATCTAAGATATCAATTACTATTTTGTAACCACAAGCCTTGAGTTAAAAGATTTATAAAATCGTATACAAAGAATAGTAAAAAAACATTAAAGTTTGTTGCATGTTTTTTCGGCTTATCTGAAGAGCTGAAGAATAGTCGCCGTCGTACATAACACAACAAATATTTATAAACTAGAGAAAACCTTATTGATATGTTTATAAAATAAACTCTAATACCCCATTCATACGATGAAAATTTGCTTATGTGTGCAAATTTACATATTAGTAAATCTACACACGTAAGTAAAAGTTAATTTGCT